CATCCACCTGCCACAAAAACCTACATATATTCATTTCTCGTAAAATGCTACAATCTCATGGTAAATATTTCATCTCTAATTCTGTTTGTCACTTTCCTGGGTGATTTTACAGTACCAAAACCCAAAGAAGATGGCAAGATAAGAGAAGTAGGCACAAAATTCTGAATTAAATTAAAAATACTAATTTAGGTTCCAAGATGTGAAATTGCAATGGCTCAAGGCTTCTGCATTGACCTTTTAAAAGACATGGTATATAATTATTTGTAGAATAAAAATAGCTTATTAATAGCAAGGGACAGAAGGTCCGACGCCCTGCCTCATAGTAGCCATGCAACCTTTATCAGCTTACTTCAGATACCTGTAAAATGATATTGGATAGTCTACCACATAGGCATGTTGTAGGAATCAAATGAGATTTCCCAACAGGGACTTAAAAAATGTCTAAAGAAAGATTTTTTTTTTTTTTTTCTGAGACAGAGTCTCACTTTGTTGCGCAGGCTAGAGTGCCGTGGCGTCAGCCTCGCTCACAGCAACCTCGAACTCCTGGGCTCAAGCAATCCTTCTGCCTCAGCCTCTTGAGTAGCTGGGACCACAGGCATACGCCACCATGCCCGGCTAATTTTTTATATATATTTTTTTAGTTGGTCAATTAATTTCTTTTCTATTTTTAGTAGAGACGGGGGGGGGGGGGTCTCACTCAGACTGGTTTCGAACTCCTTACCTTGAACAATCCGCCCACCTCGGCCTCCCAGAGTGCTAGGATTACAGGTGTGAGCCACCAAGACCGGCAAAGAAAGATTTTGAAAACAAAGATAATCTCTTGACCAGCAGCTAAAACTTATCTCCAGACTATCACGTCAGCAAATTTAGTCAAAATGTTAGTAAAATTGATAAATGGCCCAGTTTTGCTTTGTGTACATATAAATATATATGTATATATCTCAAACTCTCACCACCTTCACTTAAAAATAAACAACCTAAAACTTTTAGGCCATTCAGGGGGTGTTACACATTATTTAATTCATCTAGCTTATTTTACAGATATGAAAACAGTTATATTGTTAAACCATGTTTTCTCAAAGCAGGTGAGATTTGGAATTACATGGTAGGAAAAAAATTATTTTTTAGGAAAAAAATATATATAGAGTACATAAACAGATATATGGTTTATTTATGGTATTACTATTTCATTGGGGTTATTGGAAAAATCATATCTAAAGTGCTCCCCTAAAGGATAGTGAAAAAAGATTGAGAAAGACTAGGCCAAACTTATATAAGAGCCCAAATATCCTAAATTAAAAATTGCCCCCATTTCAGTCTACAACTACAGCAATCATAAACTTTCTGTCCCTTGAAATTATTCAAGTCTACACACATACCATTCGTCCTCAGGCAAAACAGAATGCTGTCATGAGGCCATTATAATTGCTTATGACTTTAAGTTGATGATCAAAATATTACTTGTAGCTATATATCAATAGGGGCTTTTATTCTGGAAATAATGTGTAGAAGTAAAACAGAAAACTCAACTTTAAACATGTTTATTCTTGAATGGATTAGGTTCGCTTGGCTTCAGACTGGGGGTAGGACAGGTGTAAGAAAGGTCGGGATATGAGTGGCAGCTATGGAATTTGAAGGTCTTGTGACTTGAGCAACAGAGGATGGTCAGACTAAAGTGATTCATAATCTTAAACCACTTTTACTCTTCCAGAATATAGTTTCAAAGAAATTCTTACACACAAGAATCAACAGACCCAAGCAGGATAATAGAATCTCATGATATAACCTTACCCTAAATGCTTATAGGAATACTTTACTATATTTTCCAATAGAGATAAAATTAATTATAGAATCACAGAATCCCCAAAATGGAAAGAACTTGAGATTAGTCAAACCTCTTGGTGAACGCCTGAGAAAACTGGGGCCTAAAAATTGCAATATTAAAATTGTGACCTAGATTTTTCTTTTTAAATTCAATCTCACATAGATATATTAGTGATGCAATAATTGCTCAAGAGGTTGTTCATATGCAAAAATAAAAGCATACATAGCTTAAGTGAGCCTCTAAATTGCTTATTTTCAAATGTAACTGGAGCCATTATGTAGGGTTTTCAAATATTTGAATGTGAGAACTGCAAAATTAGTTCATGATCTCTTATTGTTTTGGCCATATACCTAAAGATAGGGAACATGCTTGCAGTGATATTCTGGTGTTATAAGTATTCCAGAATTCACATATGACAGAAACATGGCTGCAAAAAATATGACAGCCATTATCAGGAAGCCAATTGCCTGTTTCCCAAGCATAAGCACAACATTTGTAATTATTGAATAAAGACAGATGTTTAAAGTAAGCCAAAATTTAGACAAATGAGACAATGATTGTTAATACCTACAGCCACATAGGGAAAGCCAAAATATCTATATAACACTAAAGTAGACTTTTTTGCACAGAAAATCACTTATATTAACCCGGAATTCTTAAATACTAAAAAGAAAAAAGAAAAAAAATAATAAATCTGGGAGATTTAGGGTGTCTATGGAAAGCACTAAAATATTTTCATATGGATATGTTTATGATCAATTTAAGGATCTTACATTGGATCTAAGCAAGAATGACTCTATAACTTAGTTGCTGTTCTCCAAATAATGATGAAAAATGAAATAAGATAGCATCATACTGACAGTATCAAAGAAAATTACTTTCTGAGTAGTTTACCCCAAACTAAAACGGTTGGGCTTATAGGTTGTGTGGGTGAGAAAAAGGCCACACAGCAGAGGTGGCACGATTTAGACATTAAAACACTCTTTAAAGTACTTAATCATTTCTTCTTTGGTATGGGCTCTGATTCAGTTGATTTTTTTCTTGGTATTGAGAGGCTAAATGAATGTTACAATCATCTGCGAGAAAATTTTGTGACAAGACTTTTTCTGAGCAGAAGCAATGCTACTCAACTACTATGACAGAAAGAAAAGGGAGGGCTTGTTAACTATTTGGGGCTTTAAATAAGAAAATAAACTGACTAGTTCTTTACATAAGCAGTTCCTAATCATCAGTCACTGCTGTAAAATAGGTCATTTCCTCCCCCAAACAGCAGAGTATGTGGGATTAGAACATTTATATATCAAAATAGGTATATTAATGATTATACTTTTAAGCAACAGAGACAGAAATGCTGCTACTAATTAATTTAGGTAATCTAAATTATAATGCTTAGCCATAAAAGACACAACCAACATCTAAAATTATAAAGTTTTAGCAATTTTGATGATAAAGCTTTAGCATTGCTCAGCATTCATGATTAGTTAATAATTTTAAAAAGCAATTTGAAACATAAAAGATATTAAACATGCTTCGTATATTTTGAAAACAATTAACAAACTAAATGTTTTAAATTAGAATTGTTTCACGATTACCAAATAAAAATTCTTCCTGAAACCATTGCTATAAAATCTTTCATCTAATTATGATGAGAGATTCTATAACGTGGAGTCCGTACAAACTAATAAATCCTCAGAGAATTTCCATCCCATCTCCCACTTTGATCTTCTAGAGAGCAGGGCAAGGGGGTCTTGAGGGTTTATAACAACAATGGCATTTGTCATAAGGAATCATATTTTACAGTTTCACAGGAGAGTGGCAGAACAGGGGTGGATGGTGTGGTGAAGGAGAGGTTTATATTCACAATTAAAACTGTGAAATGCTAAACTCCATTATGAAGACAAATAGGAAAGTACAACTTCATTGTTGAAAACAATTTCCCTCCTATCAGTCCAAGGATTCATGCATCAATATTGTAGATGAACTGTTAATTACAAAATCAATTAAAAATTATTTCTAAAAACAGTCACGCGTCCCTGGCTCTCATGGGGGCAATTTGGGCAGAAGGTCTCATCTCACTAGGACCGCGCCAAATCACAAAGTCGTCATCCACAAGTAAGCAAAAGCAATCTGGTTTTTCATTTTTCAGCGCGGCTGAGCCCAGCCTGAGATTGATCGTCACATATGGCCCCAGAAAACAAACTGTCAATACCTTGAATGCTGCAGAATTTGAACAAATAGCCGTCCGCCCATTCAAGCCACTCATTGCATCCCATTTAACAGATTTTATTGACAGTTTCCTTCTTGTAATTAAAGGGAAAACTACTGGCCGGCAACCAAGATAAAGTTCAAAGATAGGGTCAAAACAAAAGCAGATGGAGGGGCACGGTGTGACTGTCAATGGTACATAGCATCAGAGCATGTTATTGACACGCAGGTATCTAATGATCGGCACGTCATTAAGGAGGGATCTATCCTGAACTTTATGCAAATGCTAAAAGAGACTTAAGACCATAATAAAGCATTAGGAGAGGCACAAAGGGAAAAACAACAAAGCACCAACGATTTTTACTTATCAGAGGTTGCTCTCTATTTTAGCACGTTTCAGTTCAAATGTAAAGAACATTTATTCCCATAATTCTTAACCCTTACTGCATAGGTAGCATCTTTGAGGGAAATACTCCTTCAGCAGAATTTGACTTCTAGAGAACTCAAGGATGTAAGAAAACAGAGTATTCTTTAATAACCAAAATTAAAAGCAATACTAAATATATTCTGCCGATTGCAAAATTTGCATTTTTGAGGAGAAAGACTAATTTGTGTGTATCCATAACTCCCTTATTTTGACTTATGCATAAAAGACAATGGAGCTAATTTTGTCCCTAAGATGTCCATTTATGCTATTCCTCCAAGAGCTTTTGCTTTGCTATGATCCAAATTGTACATGCATTAATTGATAAAAGTTTCGCAGCTTTCAGTAAGTGAAATGAAAATAATTCCCATTAAGTGTATTTTTCTTATTTCTAACTTCTCACTAGAAAGCTATACTGATTATAACTTTGCTGACTCACGCAGAATTTACAAACTAGGTCTAGTAAATCCCTGAAGAAGTTAAGGGAAGGGGTAAAAAACTGACATATTAAAAAATGTTAACAACCACCATTGTCAATATGCCAACCTGAATTAGCCAGAGCGATAGCTTTCAGGGTGACAAATTCTTCTTTCTCCAGCTTCATGCTCTTGTATTTCTTTACCAGCTGCAGGATGGCATTATTTAGATCAAGAAGGCCTGCTAATTTGGACTGGTCTTCATCCATTATATAATCGTCTGCATAGACAAGTTCATCCTCGAACGAAAGAGATCGGTATACGACACCCAGGATCAAAATCTCCATCCAAGCACTCTGCAAAAGGCTCATCTGGTCCGCCAGGGACAGCGTGGAGAAGCCTGCATGGAAAGACGGGCAGATCAAGTTACTTTAAAGCCATAATTTCATAATGCAACATTAGTTTCATATGGTGGCTGGCTTCTGCATCAGTGCTCAAAATTTGCTGAGCTTTGATTAGAAGCTCTTAAAAATGTTCCCCTGATCACTTTGTGAACAGCAAAGTAAGTCACAAACTAGCTTCCTCAATTTGTGGGTGTTTTCTGTAGGTTTTATAGACAAGGGTAAGGGGAATATAATAGAGAAGTAGTTTTCTTTCTTTCATTTGAGAAGAAAATATGATGTGATCTTTAAGAACACTTGATTTCTGGCTGAAATCCTTAGGAATGTATTAAAGAAAGTCAGATTTTCAACTATCTCATCTCTAAAAACTACTATTAATAAACAACATAAAGGTAAAAAAAAGCCCTCTCCCCCCCCAAAAAAAGGAAAACAAACAATTTAGGCCACACAGTACAGTATAACTTGGAAACATTTCTCTATAATAGTCAAAAGCACAGTGGATGATGAGTTAAAATCAGATGAGCCTTCTTAATTAGAAAGTTTGCCTCCACTGATGTTTGACATGAATTTCTTTTTAAAATTGTGATTTTTCAGCATAGAAGAAAGTGGAATACTTAGCAGCCTGGCTTCCTCACCAAGTTGAAAAGCCACAATTCATTCTTGTCATTAAGATCTAGTTATAGTAAAACTTAAATATATAGGTAATGGGGTTGGGTAGAAAGGATATGAACAGAACCAGATTCTGAATGTAAATATTGGCTCCACTTAGCTACTGGCTTTTTCACCTTGAACAAGACAATTAACTTGTACCTTAAAAGTTTGCATTTGGGAAATATAAAATAACATGCACTTAAACACTAACTTACAACATGCATTCAATAAGTGTTGCTATATTATATATTATTTTTATCTGAATTATCTAGTTGACTGCTTCAATTCTTCAGTGCAAATCTGAGTTGCATTCATACATGCATATTTAAAGTCCCTTCTGAACTTGAGAAAACATATGCAAAAAATATTAAAAAGAAAATGTTGTTCAACAGGAAAAGAGGAAGCAGTATAATTAAACCTACTTAGGAGTAAAGATATATATATTTATATCTCATAGGGACAAGATGTATATTCTAAAAGGAAGTCTTAGTGTAGATACCTCATGATGAGATGCTTCTTCCAAGAGTCCTAAAAAAGAAATGTTCCTTAAAACTTCACTTTCATTTCCAAGGGTATGCCCAGGAATCCCAAGGGTAACTACCCACCGCATGGTTTTTGAGGACAATGGTACCATGATTGAAGGTTAATAATGCAACTTAAGAAATCTATTTTTATTCTCCTTCTAGACATTATTACTCAAAACATAAATACCCACTGATACCCAACCTTTTTAGACTCTTGCTTATGGACATTGTTGTTGTCCTTTTTATTCATATCAATTTGTACATGTCCCATATGATATTAGAAACTACAGTAAAGAAAACAAGATAATTTCCTGACCTATTGGTGAAACTAGTGGTTTTCCATTTGGTATCATGAACTATAAGTGCTTAATAAAATCATCAAAAGGGATTAGTCAAGCTTTTCTTAGGGGAGTCTTTAAGGCATGTGTAAAAAGCATTTCTTTCATTGTTTATCAAGGTGCTTACATGTTATTTGACAGGGTTTCTTTTGGACTGCCTGCACCGGTCTATTTTTTCTTATTCTTTATTTTCTGTCATTGCAATTTGGGGTTAAACTAATAAACGTCCCCTTAGAATTAGAGATATAAGAGCTGATAACATTTTAAACAGGGATTCAAAAGAGAAAAATAATTATTTTAACCTGAGTGGGTTTGGAACAAGGTGCTTTCAAAAATGGAATGTCATACTCACAAACAAACAAACAAATGCCACACTGCCCTTTTTTCTATTCCCTTCCTCAAGAAAAAAGGTGCAATGCAAATCCAAATTATCGAACTCAAGGAAAGAGACTAAGGAGGAATTTCTTTTGTAAATGAAACAGACAAAAGCAAGAAAAAAAAAAAAAAGGAAATGATCGTCTGCAAAGTTACAAGCAAAATGAAATAAATGGGTCTTTTCAATTGGCCTTAGTTTCCTTGTTCTTTTCAGGCTCCCAAGCAGCAGTTTTTGTGCAGCAGCAGATGGACAGAGCGCATAGCCCGCAGCACCTTCCTGTGACAGCCCTATTCTCCCTCCCCGACACTGCTGTTAGTAAATAGATTTACACATTCTCCAATCTCCACACATCTTTCTGCCGAATAATTAAAAGCAGGATGATTAGTTTATTGAGTGGAAGGAGGAACTTTTTTATTGAGGTCCATCCACGATTTTATCAGGGCCAGCACTTTTACGGTTGTCAGGGGGGTGCAGGCATCCAATTTTTCTTATCTACCTGATTAATACAAACGCTGTTTCAGGACGCATTAATTAACAGATACAAATCTACGTTCTCATGGAAGGATCAATACGGAGAAGAAAAGAGGCATCAATGTGAATTTAGTGCTGATGATGGAGAAGGCACGCTATCGACATTTACGTGCACGGAAACTTTAAAGTTGCAGCGGGGGCCCTTTGTCCCTGTGATTTACAAATTAACAATGCTTCAGCCATAACAACGTCTCGCACATTTCTTTGGGGTTTAATTAAGCAAAAAGCAATAAAATTTCATTTTTTGTAGGTTGATTCTGCAAGTTGTTTCCCCTGTGTTGATGTGTGTGTGTATGTGTGTGTATGTGTGTGTCCCTCCTACAAACCTAACTTTTCCTTTTGCTTTTCTATGAAATAAAGAGAAGGGGGAAATGGTAAAGAAAAGGGGTTCTTCTTTTTTTGGCCAGGGAGCATGGGGGAGATGGATATAGCACAAAAAGGTTTGCTTGCTTGATATCCCCACGTCTATTTCAGCTGACGAAAGGAAGTGTCATTTTTGTAAATCCATAGGAAAAAGGACAACCCACGCTTTACAAAATAAAAGTCTGGATTTCAATTTCTTCTTGTCTAGAAACATCTGTCTGTCACTTTTAACTCTTTACTACCAAACCTCTGCAATCTGGAAGCTGCCCACAAAGAGTGATCTCACCCCAAATGCCCGAGTCGTAGTTAGACAGCCTTGTTAGTAGATAGTTATGTTCATTTGGTCACCAAGGAGGCCAAATACATAATAGGGGTTTTATCTTAATTCCATAAAATTATTTTACCTGTCCCTTAGCTATATTACACATGCATAAAAACACATGGATAAGATGGATATTTTTATCAATAGAACTGAGCAAAATGACCAAGGCCTTAAGTGAAAATGCATGTTTTAATAAACTAAATCTAAGAACTTTTCTAAAAACGTGATTTGCTCTATTGGCTCACACATACTGGTATCCAAATGATAATTGCATGTTTGGGTTTTTAGTAGGCATTTAATGGTGTTTTATAGCTACCGGGCTCCAAGTTAGAGGCCCTCATCATCTGTAACATTTAGCTATCTTTGCAGAGAAGCCTCTTTCCCAAGCGAAATAAAATATGCTTTGCAGTCGTGTCATTTGAACTTCATGTTTTGTACATCCCTGGATCTTAATCTTTGGTGTGTGACAGGTTATAGTTTTAAATGTTCGGCCGTATTACAGCTTTTTAAAATATACTGATACCATGGCACGTTTTTTCCTTCCCCAACTACGGTCTGCTCCGTGCGTATCACTGACAATTCTGATCTCTCTTCATCTCCGTCCTGAAGTCAGTGCCATTTAATGTATCTCAGGCATTTTGCTAGCAGAATGACTGTCTACCTTGACCTGCAGTTAAATAGCATGTTTATCTGCAATACAGTGTGCTCCAAATAAACCAGATGACAGTTGGGAATAACATCATTTGGAAGGATTGAAAAGCTTCTCAAGAGGCAGGTACCCCTGCGGTAATAGGCTTGAAGAAAGCATGTTCTGTGCCAACCCTCTTGCCTTCTTCTACTAGAAACTTCGAGGTTGACAGTGGCGCCATGAGCACTCGTCAAGCACTTTTTTTTTTTTTTAGCCTGGCAAACTGATGCACTTTGCAGTCAACTTACAAAAAAGGCTAAGCATTTGAAAGTGTGAAGGGCAAAAAATATCTGACGGCTAGTCTTCAAAAATACACTTTCATTTCAGAAAGCATAAATGTTTATTTCCTGAACAGAGTGTTGACAGAAATAGGCTGCAGTGCAGGCATTTGGGTTTAACCCCTGCAAGGCATTTTCTTCTCGGCTGCATTCTTGAAATAGAGAAAAAGCATTTTAAATCTTCAGGGTGTCTGTTAATATCAGTTAATCATGGCATTGATTTGCCTGCTCACGGTTTTTGAACTGTAGTTTTTCTGTTGCACAAAAAAATTGACACTTTTCAACAAAGAGGATATCATGCTAGAATGGTAATTATGCCATAATGACTCACTGAGATCACAAACGAAGTTCGTTTGGAGAAGGTGACTGAGCAATGTAGCAAAAACTAGATTCTTCCTCTCCCACGCAAATAAACCTAATGCTTACAGGAACTAGGGAAGGAAAGAATAACAGTGGCACTAAGATTTGGTCTTAACTACCAGTAGATGCACAGATGCATAGCCCTTGTTAGAGATAAATTAACTTTATATTTTTAAGCCAGTTGCTATTTTCACATATGGGCTGATGTATCACTTGTTCTATGATTCACAAAACACATAGCTCAGGGTCTTGTAGGAGACATATATATGTGTGTATATATATATATATATATATTTTTTTTTCCCCCATAGGCTAGAACTCACTAGGAGCTAGAGTTAAGCTGCTACAGATGGTTAACAGCTAAAGTGAAAGTTGGTACATCTACATGGTGCTATCAGCAATGTTTTATTTAAAAATTTTCTTTAAAAGGGATGATAATGCATATTATATTTGTACTTAAGCATTGAATACAATACATACAATTCTATTCTTTAAATCTTTACCCTTTTATGCTGACCATAATCCAGATTTCAATAATTTAGACTCAATCACATTTGGTGTGGGTAAA